AAGATAATGAATCAAAAAATCACAGAAACACATGGGTAGAAAGGACCTCAAGATGTCAGCTAGTCCATCCTCCAGCCCTGAAGCATGACCAAGTATACATAGACCATGGCTGACAGGTATTTTCTATCACTTGCTTAAAAACCTCCAGTGATGGGATTCTACAACCTCTCTGGTAAACTATTCTAGTACTTATCTACCCTTATAGTTGGAAAGTTTTTCCTAATATCCAATCTAAACATTCCTTGCTGCAGATCAAGCCAATTACTTCTTTCCTACCCCAGGGCATATGGAGAACAATTGATCACCATCCATTCAGTAGCCACAGAGTGTGGCCACCAACTCCTGCTGGTGGCCTCTCTGACAATTTTTCCTAAAATACTTAATTAACTTTAGGATAAACAAATAAATATACACATATACATGTCCAAATCATTGTAATTTATTTATGTAGGGTTTTTTTGCAGACTCAATAATAAAAATAATGTACAGTTGTCTCTATTCTTTACTGGACCTAGACAGAATACAAACACAAATAAGGTGTTTTGCATGTTCTTGTCTTTTTTGTTGTTGTTTCTTTTGCTTTTTTGGTTGCCTTTAAAAAAAAAAAAGACTTGCTAGCTAGTAAGTGTGCTGCTGTGAAAAGTGGCATTTGTATATTTGTTAATATCACTTTTCACAGCAGACTTACTACCAAGCTGGGAGGCTGTGAAAAGTGATATTAACAAACATATAAATATCACTTTTCACAGCAGAATTACTCAGCCCTGGCAAGCTGGGAGACAAAGTAAGCCCTTGATGGGGAACAGAAGAAAGGCCATACTGGGTCAGACCAAAGGTCCATCCAGCCCAGTATCCTGTCTTCTGACAGTGACCAATGCCAGGTACTTCAGAGGGAATGAACAGCTAATTATCAAATGATCCGTCCCGTCGTCTGCTCCCAGCTTCTGGCAAACAGAGGACAGGGACACCATCACTGTCCATCCTGGTTAATAGCCATTGATAGACCTATCCTCCATGAATTTATCTCATTTTTTTTTTGAACCCTGTTATAGTCTTGGCCTTCACAACATCCTGTGGCAAATAGTTCCACAGGTTGACTGTGTGTTGTGTCAAGAAATATTTCCTTTTGTTTGTTTTAAACCCGTTGGCTGTTAATTTCATTTGGTGACCCCTAGTTCTTGTGTTATGAGGAATAAATAACATTTCCTTATTTACTGTCTCCAAACCCGTGATTTTATAGACCTCTATCATATCCCCCCCTTAGTCATTTCTTTTCCAAGATGAAAAGTCCCAGTCTTCTTAATCTTGCCTCATACGAAAGTTGTTCCATATTCCTAATGATTTTTGTTGCCCTTCTCTGTAACTTTTCCAATTCCAATATATCTTTTTTGAGATCGGATGAACAGTTCTGCATGCAGTATTCAAGATGTGGGCATCCCATGGATTTATATGAGGCAATACGATATTTTCTATCTTATTATCTATCCCTTTCCTAATGATTCCCAACATATTGTTAGCTTTTTTGACTCCTACTATACATTGAGTGGATGTTTTCAGAGAACTATCCACAATGACTCCAAAATCTCTTTCTTGAGTGGTAACAGTTAATTTAGACCACATCATTTTGTATGTGTAGTTGGGATTATGATTTAAAATGTGCATTACTTTGCATTTGCCATTTTGTCACCCAGTCTTGTGAGATCCCTTGGTAGCTCTTCACAGTCAGCTTTGGACTTTATTATCTTCAATAATTTTGTATCATCTGTAAACCATCTAGTCCTGGTAACTTATTAATGTTGAAATAATTAATTTGTTCCAAAACCTCCTCTACTGACACCAACATGGGACATTTTCTCCGATTTGCCAGCTGCAAAGAATGGCTCGGGTGGAGGAAAGTCCCTCAAATTCTCGTCAGTGAAGACGGATGCAAAGGATTCATTTAGCTGCTCTGCAATGGCCTTGGCTTCCTTGAGTGTTCGTTTAGCATCTCAGTCACCCAGTGGCCCCACTGATGGTTTGGCAGGGTTCCTGCTTCTGATGTGCTTTAAAAAAATGGTGTTAGTTTTTGTGACTTTTGCTAGTTGCTCTTCAAATTCTTTTTTTGGCCTGCCTAATTATACTTTTTACACTTGACTTCTCAAAGTTTATGCTCCTTTCTATTTTCCTCAGTAGGGTTTGACTTCCAATTTTTAAAGGATGCCTTTTTGCCTCTACCTGCCTTATTTACTCTGTTCTTTAGCCATGATGGCATTTTTTTAATCCTCTTACTGTTTCCCTGCCCCCCGCCCAATTTGGTGTACACATTTATTTTGAGCCTCTATTATAGTGTTTTTAAAAAGTTTCCATGCAGCTTGCAGGCATTTCATTTTTGTGAGTGCTCCTTTTAATTTCCATGTGTCTAGCTTTCTCACTTTCGTGTAGTTCCCCTTTCTGAAGTTAAATGCTACTGTCGTGGGCTTCTTTGGTATTTTCCCCCTCACAAGCATGTTAAATTTAATTACATTATGGTCTCTATTACCAAGTGATTCAGCTGTATTCACCTTGTGGACCAGATCCTGTGCACCTCTTAGGACTAAATCAAGAATTGCCTCTCCCCTTGTGGGTTCCAGGACTAGCTGCTCCAATAAGCAGTCATTACTGATGTCTAAAAGCTTTCTCTCTGCATCCTGTCCTGAGGTGACATACCCAGTTAATATGGGGATAGTTGAAATTCCCAATTATTATTGTGTTCTATTTTTATAGCCTCTCTAATCTCACTGAACATTTCATAATCACTGTCACCATCCTGGCCACATGGTCAGTAGTATATTCCTACTGTTATACTCTTATTATTCAAGCATGGAATTTCTATCAGAGATTCTATGGCACAGTTTGATTCATTTAACATTTTTTACTATGACAGGTTTCAGAGTAGCAGCCATGCCACAAGTACTCCTTTGATTTTTTTACTATATTTGATTCTATGTTTTCTTTCATATATAGTGCCACTCCCCCACCATCACAACCTACTCTGTCATTTCTTGATATTACCATGTCCTACTGATTATCATTCCACCAAGTTTCTGTGATGCCTATTATATCAATATCCTTATTTAAAACCAGACAGTCAAGTTCACCCATCTTAGTATTTAGCCTTCTTGCGTTTCTATACAAAAACTTATAAAATTTGTCAATATTTGTCTGTGATGTGATGTAATTGAATAGGACTCTTTCATTTGACCGTTTCTCTTCAGCTACTACCTCTCCTCTTTACTAGGATATAGAGAATTCCCATGAAAAGATCCTCTCCTAAGGGATTGCTCTGTCCGAACCATATGTTCCTCTACACCTAGTTGCCTTTCCCCCAGCACTTAGTTTAAAATCTCCTCTATGAACTTTTTAATTTGACATGCCAGAAGTCTGTTTCCATTTTGGTTTAGGTGGAGTCCATCCTTCCTGTACAGGCTCCTCCTTTCTGAAAAGACTTCCCAGTTTCTAATAAACCTAAAGCCCTCGTCACTACTATCATCAAATGACGAGTCTAAGGGATTGAAATTTACATGTGCAGCAAGATTACACCCACAGGGTTTCCAGCAATCTGCTGTCACAGTAATTGGTTGGCATAAGAGGACATGCTATGGCCATTGAACCTGAGCTACACCATGCATCTGAGTCTGAGCCCTATCATTGACAACTGTCAAACAATGTGTGTTGTGTATTATTCTTATATTCTGTAGGAGTTTCTCTTGGAAGTTTTGCCCTGTTACCAACATTTCTGTATTAAGAACAATATTTTAAAGTGCTCTCAAATCTACACAGAGATATTGGACTCGTCGCTAATTAAGAGTTTTGCCAGCATAGATCTGCTGGTCAGTGGTGTGAAAAATCACATCCCCACCTGACACGGCTTGCCGGCAAAAGTGCAAAAAAGTCTATTAAAAAGAAATCAAGGAAATTAAATACCCATAAACAACATTAAAGCAGAGTTAAGGTTGCCCAGTGCTGCCACATGCCTTTCCAAGCATGTGGTTGGTGGCAAAAGTTAAAACCTCTGAAAAACAGGAAATGAAGGACTAAACTACACACCACCCCTGCAATGCAACCTTAACTCTGCTCCTACTCCCTAACCCTGGAGCTAGCAAATATCACTGGGAATAGGTCAGTAAGGATGGTGCAAAGATTAACAAATTACCCAAGGAAGTGGCAAATTTTCCATCTCGTGAAGTCTTCAAGTCAGGACAGGATGCCTTTCTGGAAGATGTTTTCATCAAACACAAGGTATTCGGCTCACTACAATGGTAACTGGATGAAACTCCATGGCCTGTATTACACAGGAGGTCAGACTAGATGACCTAACAGTCTCTCCTGGCCTTAAAATCTATTGATCAATAATCAGTGGAAGGAAGGACTAAGAACATGCCATTGTTTGTGTTGTGTTCTACAAATCTGAATACAAGCATTTATCCGCATGCACTCCAGCTGTGTGCACTGTGTCACTAGTGGCTTTACATGAACAGCAGAGGGATTAGTTGGAGCAGCTTGGCAGAGCTGTGACTGTGATATGAAGAGAGGTGCATGTGAAACTTGAAGGAACAGGTATTCCTCATTTCAGTGCTGAGTGTTGTAGATAGCATCAATAAAGGTGCACAAGGGTGTGTTCTTGCCACGAGGGTTGTCAGCTGTCTGGTGACATACATGCTAGTGGTCTCTAGGGCTCAGTAAGTGGTAAGTGAAGGCAGTGACTCAGAAGGAATCCTCACTGCAAAGGTAAAGGGGTGGTGACATTATGAAAGTCAGAGATGGACCGTGTGCAGTAGGCTCAGTGTTTGAGTGCAGGCCAAGGATAGGTAGCTTCTGATCCCAAAGTGTTCTGTAGTGGGGAGGGTAGAATGCTAGTCTATGTGTCATTGGCCTGTTGGGGTGTTGCTGAAACAGGGCAGAGTTGAGGTTGCACTGTGGGGTGTTGTGAACCTTAATTCTTCATTTCCCCTTCTAATAACCGAGGGGATAGGAATCCTTACCCAACGAGGTGACATTCTCATAGTTCTCCTGCATGACGTCTCTGTAGAGGGCTCTCTGAGCAGGGTCCAGCAGAGCCCACTCTTCTTTGGTGAAATACACAGCCACCTCCTTGAAAGTCACCAGCCCCTGAAAGAACAAGAGCCCCCCACTCAGTACCCAGTGACAACCCCATCATTCACAGGGCAGGAGAGCCAATCACATGGAAGCTCTTGGAGGCAGGCAGGCAGCAGAGTCCCACCCCCACCCCATCAGAGCAGCCAGGAAGCATCAAGGTGAAGGGAAAAAGAGAGCCCCTCTCCCATTCTAGCAGACAGAGATGGCAGGGGTCTTCACATTCATCACTCACCTACTAGCCAGAGGCTGTTTCAGGTGATGGAGCCTCCAGCAGGACAGAGACAACTCCCTGGTGGCAATCCCAACACCCTCCCCATTGCCAGCAGCCGGATGGGAGGGGATGGGGTGTCTTTCCTAGGCCTCACTGTTGGGTGCCCCTTCATATCTTATAGCATCCTCTAGCTGGTAGGTTCAGGCTCCAGATCTTGGAGTTTCCCCAGACCAGTCCAGCAGGGTTGTTTCCTGTTCCACAAGTTAGGGAATTTCCACAAGCCCCCTGGGCCTGTTGCTAGGATCCAGGCCCTACAGTAAACAAATCCCAGCAGGGTTGTCACACCCTGTCCTCCTCCCCTTCTGCACACTCTGTATTTCCTGCCCCCTCCTCCCTCCAGACCACCACCCCCTCCAGAAGTGCCCAACTCCTATGTATTTACTGCCTTTCTCCCACCAATAGGAACTCACCAGCAACTCCCTGATAATCCCTACCTGAACTGTCTCCATGGCAACCATTTCCCTTCCACGTCCTCCAGAAGGATGGGATGTTATGCTGCAGCCTGTCAGGGCAATTGGGGACATGTCAGAACAGTAATGTCACATCACAATTCCCCCCAGACTGATGTTCTAGACTCTGTCAAGCAAATAACACAATTAGTAATAACACAATTCAATTCAAAACACAATTCAAAATAGGAGTGTGTGGGGGGGTCTTTAACTACCCAGACACCTGTTAGAAAAGGAATTCAACCAAACACAAAGTGTCCAATAAGTTCTTGGAATGTGTTGAGGACACCTGTTTGCTTCAGAAGATGGAAGTAGTAAACAGGCGGATGGGCAGGAGTTAGTTAGGAAACCGCAGGTGGAAAGCAATATGGGCGAAAGTGTTCAAGAAATGATGATTTCATGATTCTAAGAGAAGGAAGGCGTTAGAGCAGGAAAATAAGGACAATGGATTAAAATTCAAAATGACAAACTGGAGAAATGGTCTGAAGTAAATAGGCTGAAATTCAATAAGTACAAATACAGAGTACTCCACTTAGGAAGGAACAATCTGTTGCACACATACAAAATGGGAAATGGCTGCCTAGGATAGCAGTACTGTGGAAAGGGATCTGAGGGTCAGAGTGTTGAGTGTTTATATTGTTCCAGCAGATTTTTCTTAAACAAACAGGTCCACTATGGCTTTTCCAAATTACTGCAATTAATATAGATCCATTATTTCTTTTCCACGATTTTCCAAGTCTTGTCCGCAACTCAGCTGCAATTATTTGAAGATCATACTGCAATTCAGGTAGGGTCTTAATTAATATTAACCAAGAGGAGGAAGAAACAGAAACCACAACAGGGAAAGAACAGGTTAAAAAAATATTTAGATAAATTAGATGTATTAAAGTCAGCGAGACCTGATGAAATTCATCTTAGGGTACTTAAGGTATTAGCTGAAGCAATCTCAGAACCATTCACAATTATCTTTGAGAACTCCTGAAAGACAGTGAGGTCCCAGAAGACTGGAGAAGGGCAAACATAGTACCTATCTTTAAAAAGGGGAACAAAGAAGACTAGGGAATAAAGACCAGTCAAGCCTCACGTAGGTATCTGGAATGAACAAATTATTAAACAATTAATTTCTAAGCACATAGACTCAGAGGACAGTAAGATTATAAGTTATAGCCAGCATGGATTTTCAAAAACAAATCATGCCAAGTCAATCTAATTTCCTGCTTTTACGGGGTACTGGTCTTATGGATCTGGGAGACAATGTAGACAGGATATATCTTGATTTTAGTCAGGCTTTTGAGACAGGCCTCCATGATATTCTCATAGCGAACTAAGGAAATGTGGTGTACATGAAAGTACTATAAAATAGATGCAAATTTTGTTGAAAGGCTATACTCAAACAGTAATCATTAGTGGTTCACTGTCCAACTGGGAGGATGTATATAAGGCAGTCTACGGGGGCCAGTCCTGGATCTGATACTGTTCAATATTTTCAGTTATTACTTGGAAAAACAGACTGGAGATCATGGTTTCTAAATATGCAGATAATACAAGCTGTGGGGGGGTCGCAAGCATGTTGGAAGACAGGATTAAAATTCAATATAACATTTACAAACTGGAGAAGTGGGCTGAATGAAAAGATGAAATTCAGTACAGACAAGTGCAAAGTATTAGACTTAGGGAAGGAAAACTCAATGCACAACTACAAAGTGGGGAATAACTGGCTAGGGAGTAGTACTACTGAAAATGATCAGGGATTATAATGAATCACAAATTGGAGCAGAGTCAATTATGTGATTCGATTGTGAAAAAACCTAACTAAGCACTGGAATAGATTAGCAACAGAGGTGGTGGAATCCTCATCATTGGTTGTTTTTAAGAACAGGATGGACAACACCTCAGTGCTGAGGTCTGGACTAGATGACCTCTCAAGGTCCATTCCAGCCCTACATTTCTACAATTCTATGCTGGGGAAATGTTTGGTCACTTTATTATAGCATTGACCCAGCCCCTCCTACCAGGACTAAACCACTAAGTCATTTTGAAACCCTCCCAGTAACAAAGTCTGGGAACCAAATGGGAGAGAAGAGCAGAACAAAAGGAGTGACTTTGGGGGATTTCCCCTGACATCATCCCCAGGGCAGCACATCTCACTGCAAGGGGAACAGGGACTGGCTTTTCCTCTTCCTGCACCTCACCTTGCTCACAGGAAAGCGAATCTGCCCAGGAATGTTGCAATAAGTGTGTTTGGGCAGGCTAGAGATCTGGGAATCTCTCCCCCGAATTATTTCTCCCCCTGCCCCTTTAGGTCTCACTCTCTTTTTTCTCCTTGCGTTCCCCTTCCCCCTTCTGACAGTCAGACATTCCTGGGTGTTGGCTCTCCTATGGCTGGATCAGTTCCTGCAATTACTATGGGGAGGAGAGATGTGGGGTGAAGAGGGGCTGTTTGTGCAGAGTCACTTTCATGCCTATCCCAAGCACGTTCCCTGAGGTCTCTATCAATCACCTGGAGTCTCTGGTTCAGATGTTGGTGTGGGCAGAGCCTAGGGTTGACCTATGGGTAGGGCCGTACCAAATTGACAGACATGATAAACACGTCACAGACCGTGAAATCTGGTCTCACCCCCTGAAATCTGGTCTTTTGTGTGCTTTTACCCTATACCATACAGATTTCACGGGGGAGACCCGTGTTTCTCAAATTGGGGGTCCTAACCAAAAAGGGAGTTGCAGTGGGGGTTGCACGGTTATTTTAGAGGGGTTGCGGTATTGTCACTGTTACGCACACAACTGCTGCGAATTACACCTGAGGGGACACGCACACAACTGCTGCGAATTACACCTGAGAGGACACGCACACAAATGCTGCGAATTATACCTGAGAGGACATGCACAGTTTGAATCTAGGCTGAGGCTCATAAAGTCCACAACTGCAGAGTTCCCAAAAGACACTAAGTTTATTACGCTCGAGCGTGGTGCCCCCCTGCTAGCCAGGAGGGGACCCCGAATACAGATTATACAAAGGTTATATACTTTTTAGCAAAGCATGTTGCCCTTGTGCATCGGAAACCTTAGCCAATAAACAAACCCTTTTCTTATCTACCACCTATCCCTGCTTGGTGTATTCCTCCTGCTAAACCAGTATGTTAATTACACAGCATGGTCCTAAAGCCACGGTCCTAAAGCCACGCATCAGTAACTTTTATTATCAGGCTGGGAGGCCTCACATCAAAGGCCAGGAGATAGGGAGTTAGGGACTGACAAAAAAACAAACAAACAGATACTGGGAGTCAAGGCAGGCTGGAGACAAGGAGGAGGATTTTCACAGGAATGCAGTATCTAAGGAACACGACTCCTGGTGCATGATGTGCTTGTTTTTAGACAATGGTGGGCCTCAAACCAAAATGGAGTCACATGTGCTAACTTTTCCTTAACATCACCCTTACTTCTGGCTGGAAAGTAACAGATGTTGGCCAGGCACCCAGCTCTGAAGGCAGTGTCCCGCCAGCAGCAGCACAGAAGTACGGGTGGCAATACCATACCATGCCATGCCATCCTTACTTCTGCGCTGCTGCTGGCAGTGGCTCTGCCTACGCAGCTGGGCTTTCGGCCAGTAGCTGCTGCTCTCCAGCTGCCAAGCTCTGAAGGCAGCGCCGCCACCAGCAGCAGAGCAGAAATAAGGGTAGCAGTACCACAACCTCCACCCTACAATAACCTTGTGACCCCCCCCCCCCACAACTTCTTTTTCGGTCAGGACCCCTACAATTACAACACTGTGAAATTTCAGATTTCAATAGCTGAAATCATTAAATTTACAATTTTTAAAATCCTTGGACCGTGAATTTGGTAGAGCCCTACCTATGAGACTAATTGCAGCTGGAGAAAGTCCTCACCTTGGCTGGGCACAGAGGAAGCTTTACTCACAGTCACTCCCCAGCCCAGATCCCACCAGGGAACAGGAGCTGCTCAGCCTAGGCTCCCAGATCACAATAGAGGCAGCAGTGTCTGACCCAGGAAGCTCAACCCTAATATCCTGAGCAGAGAAAGAGAGAGAGAGAAACTGAGTATCTTTCCCCCCTTTAGCAATAACTGAAACCCACTCCCCACAGGGACAGATCTTATTTGCTCCCACATTAATTTGGAGTCACTCCTTGTCCTTCCCTACAGTGACTCTGGATTAACACTGGTCTCAGTGAGACCAGAAACATGGCTCAGTAGGGATGAGGCCAGAATCCTTTTAAACAGATCACTGCAGAAGGGGGTTATAACCTCCTTCCACCCTCCCTCACTCCTCATAGTCTGAGGATTCACAGCAACAGTTTTCCCTCTAAAACCTGCTGTTGCTGCACTTTTGAAAGGCGGGAGGGAAGCAAAATCTGTGATGGTTTCATATCAACATTTGATAACTTTCTATCCATTTATCAGGAGCCCTTGCCAGCCATTCACACAGGTGTAAGTAGCCCAGGATGATGCTTCTTTAACAGGAGAATGGACAGCATGAAGGAGCCAAAATTTTTAAGACATTTCCAGGCCCTGTGACTGGAAAATAATGGCTACCATAGACCCACCCCGAGCAGTGCTACAGGAAGCAATCCCTCATGGGAACCATTCATCATGGGGTTTTCTGGGGGGTACTACTGGTGACTCTGGTGAGGGGAAAGTGAGGGGTTAACACAGTAGCATGGAGATTCTCAGCTACTCTGGGCACTGCCTGGGGCAGCAAGGAGCCCATCACAGAGTGAACCCCTCATCCTGTGCCCTCTGTGGAAAAGAAGAGGATCAGCCAAGTCACTTTCATCAGCCAACTTTTTAATGGAGATAAAGGGGGAAAGAAATGAGTCTCAAACAAGAGGGGAAAGTTGACCATTTAGTCCCATGCAACCGCCAGGATAGAGAATGGCTCAAGGCAACAAATTCCCTCTACAAATGGATAAGTTGCCGCAACTCAACACGGGAATACCACAGCACTTTTTAACGGACATTTGATAAATACACGGGGAAAAAGGGAAAATCTGATGTAGTTGCAATTGCCGTTCAGTCATTACAAAGAGAAGGGTGGAAATGTGGAGAATTTTGGATGAGTTTTCACAAGCGAGAGAGAGGGAAGTGGGAAAATGTGAGGGCTGGGGGGTTTTCTACCAGTAGGGTCCCTAGCCAGTAAAAAAAAGGGGTAAACCTGAGTGACTGTCACAGCATTATTAGATGGAGAGAAAAGGGGTGAAATGCCCGCCAGGATTTTCTCTCCTTGTGCAGAACCTGAGCCCAGGCGGAAGCTGGAGGGGATTGCCAGTTATTGTGGGATCGCTAGCAGGACAGAGGAACTAGCCTTGGAGAACATTTCACATCAGGGGCCAGTCACTACAGAGGAGGCGGTGGGCAACATGTTAGACCCTCGTAAGCTCCTTGCCTAGAGACAAGCTCAAGGTCCCCCACATCTCAGGCATATATCACCTCCCCCACCCGCCACCAGGCGGGGAAACCAGCGGCCGCCAATCAGGGAGCGGGGCCGGTGCACTGATGAGCGTGCTACCCCTCGCTGTGGGGGGAGGGATAGCCCAGTGGTTTGAGCATTGGCCTACTAAACCCAGGGTAGTACGTTCAATCCTTGAGGGGGCCATTGAGGGATCTGGGGCAAAAATTGGGGATTGGTCCTGCTTTGAGCAGGGGGTTGGACTAGATGACCTCCTGAGGTCCCTTCCAACCCTGATAGTCTATGACCCCTAGAGAGAAAACTACGTTTCCCAGCGTGCCCCGGGAGAGAGGCAGGGCACATGGGCCACTTCCGCTTCCTGCGCTGGGGACAACGTCACTTCTAGCCAGATGAGCATCAGGGACTACACCTCCCACCCTGCCCCGCGGGCGTTTCCGTCCTCTCGGGGCAGCCTTGGGGTCAACCTGACCCCCGCACCCGCCCCATCAAATTGTGATTCCCTTCCCCACCCACCCGTCTCGTAGTAATCCTGCCCCCACCCGTCTCTGTACCTGCGTCCGCCTGTGAGCCGGTGTCTGTGCCGAGGCCGCGAGAACGCCTCGCTGCTCCGAACCCGGAGGCAGGTTCGGCTTCGCTGACTCAGCCTGCACCGTGCCTTGCGTCAGCGGCTTGGCTGGCACTGAGGGTGGGCGCACCCTTGGCGCATGCTCAGTGGCATCTGCTGAAGCTGCTGCCCGTACTCTGCCCTGACTGGCATTAAGGGGGCGTGGGCAGAGTCTGGGCAGGGGGCGGAAGCTGACTGTGCAGGAGTGTAAAGCAGCAGGCACTACATCTCCCATCATGCATTGCTTCACTTTTCCCTCCCCACCCACCCTGCTTCTCCTTGCTGGGCCAGCCTCAACCCTGATTTTGTGGCCCCAGAATTTCACACGCCCCCAAGCACCCCTCATAGAGGTTGTAGGTGTGGTGCCCCCAGGGGCTGGGGTCAGGGGTAGATGGGAGGATTGGAGGGTGGGGTACCCTGGGGGGCTCCCTGCAGACTTGGGGAACTATAAAGAAGGGGAAGGTGACCGTGCTCATGTTCCCAGACGACCAGAGAGACAGGGTGGGTGAGGTAATATCTGTTATTGAACCAGCTTCTGTTGCTGAGAGAGACAAATTTTCCAGCTTACACAGAGCTCCTCTTGAGGTCTGGGAAAGGTACGCAGAGCATCACAGCTAAATACAGTGTGGAATCCTCTGCCCAGAAGACCAGACATTCCAGTACTGCTGGGAATTGCATGGTCCCAACCCCAGTGCCTAACCCAGAGGTGGCTGTATCTTAGCGCCAGGCCACCAGGGGTCACTGCCCCAAAGGCCACTACCCAACCTGACCACCAGGGGTCACTTCAGTGATGGGGGAGGGATACATGCAGGGCATGCCCTCATCTGGCCACCAGGGGTCACTACTCCAATAGGGAGATACACAAAGGGCATTGCCCCACATGGCCACCAAGAGACCCTGCTCCCATTTGTAAGATACATTAATGGCACTGTCTTGTCTGGCCACCAGGGGGCACTGCCAGAATGGTGGTGATGGACAGGGGGGGTTCACACAGGCCACTGTCCTAACTGGTCACCAGAGGTCACACAGCACACACTGTCTGAGCTGGGCACCAGGGGTCACTGCCGCAATGGTGGTGGGAATATAAATAGGGCACTGCCACACCTGGCCACGGGGGGCGGGAGGGGATGGGTCACTGCTCTAATTGGTGGCACTAGACATAGGGCAGTGCCCCAGCTGGCCAGCAGGGGTCACTGCTTCAGTGTGTGTGGGAGGGAATAACCAGAGGGCATTGCCTCACTTAGCCACCAGGGGTCACTGTACATATAGAGAGAGAGACACACACACAGAGGGCCCACCTAGTTAGCAGGGGTCACTGCCCGAGTTGTGGGATATACACAGGCTACTACCCTGTGTGGATACCAGGGATCACTGCCCCCCCTCCCCATGTGTGTGTGCAGGGGAGGCTGGGTGATACACACAGGGCACTGCATCAGGGGAGGGCTACACACAGGGTATTGGATCAGGGTCTGGTCCCAGCCAGGCTGGTGTCTGTGGTCAGACCAGGGTCAGAGGAAGGGGTAGGTAGGAGGGAGTGCTCCCCTGTGGTGCTGCCCTGTGGCTCCCCTCCTATGACCAGCTTCGTTGGCCCCAGACCGGGGCAGCACCAGAGAGGGCATTGGTCTTTTCAGTTCCTGCTGCTCAGGAGTTTCCCAATCTGAGGACTCCAGGGGATGATTTATTGCTCTCATCTCCCCTGGCCGTTAATGTCCACCCTCAGCTGCTCCACGGTGCAGGCTTTCTGCCCTGCATTTACTCTCCAGATACCTTAATGGGACCCATCACCCTGGTACCTGGGAGCAGCCATCTCCTCCCTCAGCTTTTCAGGCCTAAAACTCTCTAGGCCCCTCTCACAATGTACAATCCTTTTGCACATTCATCCCACTAACTCACTGGGCCAGCACCCAGAGCATGTCCGGGGAGAGGTGGAGATGACACCTGTTCAGCTTCAGCCATGCAGTCCAGTTGGGATAGAGGAGATCCAGCCACACCCTTCCTAGCCCACCTGTGAGCTGCTTGTAGGAGGAGGAGCCTCTCTGCATGTCGCTGACCCCGAGCTCCCTAGTCCTTTCAGATTCCGGCCTTCGTTCACCAGCTGAAGGACTGTTAGCGAGAGAGGTGGTGCAGATCAAGCATCGCCTCTGCCAGAAGAAGCAGACACAAGAAACCCAAGATCCTGAACTCCCACTGAAGTACAGGTGAAGACGTGATGAGCCTGGAGTGGGGTGTGTGTGCTGCGCAGGGGAGAACAGGACTCATTTGTCTGTATAGCACCAAGGCAGAGTGGGTTTGGCTATACAGTACCAGGGTGAGTTTGAGGCATGTGGCACCTGCAGTGAGTCCATCCCATCTGGAGCTGTCCCTGTCTCTACCGGTTCCTTGATAGTGGCTGGGTGCTCTCGCTAAAATTAGCATGCTACCCTTTTTATAGTCACTTACAATAGCTCCCCTCATTAATTAACATTGTCTAGCTTTTACTATATCTATATTTCTGATACCTTAATTGATATGCCTTCTACACCCTCATTGGCTATTTAATATTAAACATCTGTGTAAGTGCCATTACAGTAATTATCACCATAGACAGCCTCCTTCCCAACCATTCATATTTCATCTAAAACATTCATTAAAACCAGTTAGACACAAACGTGTCTACAATATGGCCTGGGGTCCTATCCTAACGTACCTCTAAGCTGTCTCAGTACACTTCACCCACTATTTACCAGGCCTCACCAATATCAAGCCTAAATTCAGGCCCAAAAGCCTGTTCTCCACCTACTCTTCAGCACATTTCTGTTTAACACAAACATCATTTTAGAGGTTACAAACATTGAGAAACTGATTGGGAGTTGAAAAACCAGAAATCTTGTTTTCCTCTTCCAATTTATGGATAAAAATAAATCTGACATCTACTAGGTCCAAAACCACGACAGCCATAGTGACCAGAAACAATCAGTTCAATTCACTAATTACAGATCATACCTTGCTTTTAAGAAATCAATTAGTTTGAAATACAGATATGTTTTGTTAATTTTTTGTATGTATCAAGCACATTTTAGGCAATTTGACTTAATCAATAAAAAAAAAAAACTTTCAAATGCTGGTTTTATTGATTTATATCTGAATTCCAACCTGCAGCACTGAAAGCTCCTTCTACAAGGCAAACTGATAAACTTGTGTACTTTGCAATTTAACCAGACCAAATCCTGGCGCCCTTCTGGCCTCTGGGAAAGGGGGTTGTTACCTCCCAGGGCCTGAGGAGGTTCAGATAGGGACAGGATCCCATATGTCCAGCACCCAGTGGCAGCAGGAAGCAGAAGACTACAACTCCCAGCATGCAGTGGGATGCTACCAAGGGTCCGAGCACAGCTGGTGAGTCAGGGGGCAGCACTGGGGCTGAGAGGGGGTGGGCAATGATCCTTGCCCTGGGGGGATGGCAGTGCAATTTGAGCCCTAGTTGTGCCTGCAGAAGGGTGAGGGGGCATCCCTTCTGTTAGAGCCCCAGGGTGCAGCTGGGGGTCAGCCCCCATCTGGGGCAAAAGACACCCAACCCCCCCCCCCCATAGAGATCCCCAGGCAGCTCCTCTCTAGTGTCCTGGCCCCATGGGGGTGGAAATATCCCCCACAGTGTCAGCTGGAAACAGGATTATCTTTCACGTCCTGTCCGAAACGCTTGTGTGCTGCTGCCATTTGGCTGTTAAACAGCCCACATACTCCACCCCTGAGGCTGCTGCATCTTAGGGCTGGGCGAGGGGGTCCCTTTATAAACGTCCCCAGCCATACCCCACCCCAGAGGTGGCTTCAGCTCAGAACCAGGCGAGGGGTCCTTGAATAAATAGCCCCCTGCACCCCACCCCACCCCAGAGTCAGCTGCGTCTCAGGGCCAGGTGCAGGGTCCCTGTATAAACAGCCCCCCCACCCCTCTCCAGTGGTGGCTGCATCTCAGAACTAGGCAAAGGATACCTGTATAAAGAGCCCTGACCCCCAAGGCGGCTTCATCTCAGGGCTGGGCGAGGGGTCCCTGTATCAACAGCCTCCCCGCATCCCATCCCAGAGGTGACTTCATCTCAAAAGCAGGCAAAGGGTTCTTGTACAAACAGCCCCTTGCACCTCAACCCACCCCAGAGTCAGCAGCATCTCAGCACAGACTGCAGGGTTCCTGTAAAAACAGCTGGGGTGTAAAATAGCTGGAAATTTTGAAGGCATGGGAAAAATGAAAATGTTGGGAAAAATTGAAATATCTGTAGTAGTTACTTGCTTATCAAAATTAAACTTTATTTATTTCTTTAAGAATCAGACAGGTATTATGTATAATTTAGTTAGCATATAACAAAATCCTGTTTAGTATATTTCTGAAATAAGTATAAATTATTTAGTTTTGATTCAAATAATAATGACAAATATACCTAATATTGGGGCTGAATCTGCGGCACACTAAAGCACTTACATGTACTTTTTTGCCTATATTTGAACAAAAATATATAAAGTTGACAATAGAACACATCAATATTGTTGTAACCAAAGAGGAAGGTTGTAGCCTGTGGGCTCAGAAATGACCTGACATTATCATGCAGAAACAGAAGAAACTTGTGTTTCTAGAGAAACATTTGATTCATTGTAAAAATGTACTAGTTATTAGTAGACACCATTTTTGAAGGACTGAAGGGCAGCACTAAAACATTATTTTAAACATAACTCTAAAAATGCTTTCACTGTTCTTTCCGTATAAATAGCCCCTGTGCCCACCCCAGAGGTGGCTGCACCTCAGCTTTTGCAAGATGTCCCTGTTTGTGTAACTCGTTTGTTTTGGATCAGTGATAGGAAGGTGCTGGGGAAATGGGTGCCAGACTCTTCATAAAAGTTTTCCCCAGTGACTAAGCCAGCGCAAGGGCCGGTGGGAATCCACTGAGTGTCTGTGAGATGTGGCCAAAGTCCGCTCAGGTTTTGGTTGTGGTTCTATGCCTGGAAACGGGGTGGGAGCCTGTCCTATCGAGAAGGCAGGGGGGAGAAAGTGAGGGGCATTTATGAGGAGAGGGTTTGGAGGGAGTGGCTGGGGGAGTTTTAGGGTTGGGGGACAATGGAGAACTTTGGGGGGTTGTGGCAT